CTGCAGCCAGCCTCTTGCCAAAACAAGCCCTGCCACTGCTCCTAGCACAGCCAGGATCATTCTTGGTTGCTGGTGATGGGGCATCTCTGCTACTTCAATCTAGTTAAGGAGAAAGAACCAGCTGCAGATTACTTAGCTGGCTTAACACTGATGAGCTGAAAAAGAAATATGAAAGCCCAAATCTTTGAAGGCTAGGTTTAACTGGTACTAAGGCTATATTTGCATAAGACTCCATGTGGAAATGTGTAAAATTATATTGCTTTGGGTGGAACAAGTTGCAGTCTGGAAATGTTCTACGCAGAAAAGAGCCCATGAAGGTAAAATGCTCAATTTATGGTCTCTAAAAACATGCTATGTATTAGAAGCGAGCTGCTCTAAATCGAGAGAGAAATCATTAGCAGCTGGATATTTGATTGGTGCAAAGGCAGTAATACAAAGCAGACCCCTGGAAATGATTTGGGACAGATTTGGAAGCCTCCATCTATATCTTCCCACAGCTCCCCCCAAATGCTCTACTGTTTTGCTTCAGGCTCCTTCTCAGACCTCCAAACTCTCCCCTCTTCATTTACATCGGATCTACAGGCAATCAAGGCAAAACAATAGGTTTTATTTCAAGAGGGTTATTTGCATCTTTGGGGGCCTGGGGATTGGGTAACAGCCTTGTCCTGGAGCCTTGGACCCAGGTGAGAACCATCTGGCTCCTCTAGATTTATGTTCTGTGGTTATGAACGATGACTAATGCAAAAGCTCCTGAAGGCAGAGCAGTCACTGAACAGAAGAGGGAATCCTGACAACCCCAAGTGTTCCAAAACATTTGGCCACCATAAAATAAAGCTAAAATTAATTTTAAAAAATCCTAATAATGGCTGTTGATAGTTAGCATTTATTGGGCCTTACTAGGTGTCACACATGATTGCTGAGTGCTTAAGTATATTATCTTTCTTGATCCTTAAAACAGCCCTGTGAAGTAGGCATTAATGGACACTTAGAGACAAGGAAACTGATGCTCAGAGAAGTTAATTTCCCAAGTTTCCCAGCCTGTCGGCTGTGAAGCCAGTCTAGTGTTGAGGGTCATGTCATTCTACTGCCTCCTCCAGCCTGGGCTAGAAAGGGAGTAGATTCAGACTCTCTTGAACACCTCATTCAATACTTCAGTAAACAATAATGACCAGTGGTCACTGACCAAATACTGTGGCCTCACTCTCTGCTTTAAGTCTTTTAATGGCTCCCCATTGGTTTCTCGGGCAAAGTTCAAATTTCCTAACATGGTTTAGCAGGACCATAATGATCTGGCTCCAGTGTACCTTCCTGGCTCACCTCCTACTGAGTCCTATACACACTTTATGCCTCAGCTCCATCTGCTCCTGGGATGTGCCATGCTCTCTGACCTCCTGCACTGGCTCATACTCCTCCTCTGGTTAATTCTAACAGCACCACCCAGACACTTTCAAGACCAAGGTTGTCAGAAGCATCTCCTTGAGCTCCCCAGGATCCAATGGATGCCTCCATATTCTCTTAACATTTTGTGCATACACCTAGGACATTAATCATATTGTTAATTATTGATTTTCTTCTGTTTCTCCTATAAGGTGGTGACTAATTTAAGGGCAGGGATTGTGTCTTTTTTAATCTAAGAACTGGAAGTCGATAGCACAGTACCTGGCACCTTATAGACACTATATGAATGCTGATGGCATGTCCGAATGAAAAACAAGACTGACATCGTTTGAGAGTAGTTCGACCATCTCCTTGGGTAAGGGACAGGACAGAGCAGTGAAGTTAGTGCAGCTGGTGCAGTAATATGCTTACATTTTGAAGCAACATCTGTTAAACCCGATTGTGGTATTGCCAGCTTAGGAAACCAAGTTATATCAAGTATGGTTATAAACTTTCGGTAACTGGTGAGAGAACCAAGGATGGAGAGGAGCAGACAGTTAAGGAAAGAACTGGAAGACTCCCGGAGTACAGAAAGTCCAATATGAGCATGAGCAATATTTCAGGGAGTGCAGAATATACAATGAATATTACCATTTTAAAACATTGAGACAAAGAATGGCGGTAATTCAACTCGCCAGCTTAATTTCAGATGAAGCACAGTATAAAACTTCCAACATCAGTGACTGTTGTTAATGATTAATGCTTATTTCCCACTCATTTATACCTTGATGAAGGATCAAAACAAATGCGGGGAAAGGCATCTCAGGATGTAATCATAAAAGTAGTCCCCACCTATTTAACGCTGACTGTGCCAGTAAATCTCTCTCTCAAGTTACAACAGCTCCCAAGGTGCGTATTAGGATGTGCGCGTTACTGAAAATGGAGCTGAACCTCAGACAGGTTAAACAACTTGCCCAAACTCATGTAGCACAATTGTGCTGGACTTCTACTCAGGTCTGACTTTAAAGTGCATACTTTTTATGACCACACAGTCTTCCTTGAACTAATCTATAACCAGGGTTTACATTTTGAATAATTATTCCCCCTTGCTTTGCTCTGAAGAAAAAAGAATTCAGTTACTCAAACTATATGTGTATTTTCTTGGGGGAAGAGGATACTAGGATCACTCAAATTCTTCCAAGTCAATGATCAGATGATAATTTTCAAATAGTGGTCTGTTACAAAAACATGTCTGAATGAGTATATATTTTAGTACACCAACTTGAGAAAATCTGGTTTGGGTAAATATGTCTCTCAACCTATATTTATGGTTTTATTTTGGGTAGGTGCAGGGTTTTCAATGGAAGGATTTTGGATTGTAAAAATAAGACCTCTTAAAAATTAAAAAAATACTTAATAACTACGATAATTGCCATAATATTAGGCATAGGGATTGTAAAGGGAAAGGTGTAAAGGGACAAAAGTGAGCTGAAGGAAAGAAGTATCTGAAAGTGAGATCTGGCTCTTCAAGTGCTCAGTTGTTTCTGAAACTCCTTCCAAAGTTGTGTGCCCAGCCTGGCTTTGGAACTGGGAACATGGCCAACTGAGAGCACTATACATATTCATCTCTGCCTTGGCTTTTTCACTCTGCAAGGAAGGTAGCTGAGATCTGCTTAGCTCAGCAAATCATGCAAAATGGGTTTCTCCACAGGGCTTTGCCTCTTCACTAGGACAGAACCCAGGCTGATGCTGAAGGCTTCACCCTTATTTTGAAATAAATTCCCAAAGGAAAGTGCAATTGAAGCATGCTTGTAAGGAGAGGAATGCAAATGTTTGTACAGAAAATCAGTTGCTTGGGAAATAATGAGTAGAAACCTATGCATATTTTTCAATGTTGGTTATAAAATATATTTGGATATGATCATCCTTACCAGCTGTACTGATGGATGTAGCTACCAACTTGTTTGGCTTTGAATAAGAATCATAGACACATGGCCTGACATGACCACGAACTCTAGATCTAGATAGTTTGGGTACAGGCGATTCCAGAACATTGACAATAATTCATTATTGGTTCGGAAGAAATTACATACAGTAGCAGCTCTCTTAACTAATCTCCCTTTAACCAGTTTACTGAGTTAATTGTAGCTCTTCAACCTCTTTGTAAACAGGGAGGCTCCAGAGTAATAGGTTTCTCTCTCTAGTCCCTCTGTGCACCTCTGTTCCTGCTACCGATTGAGTTGTAAGCTTAAAAATTTAAAGTCAATTATGTTTATTCCCAAGCCTGTTTATGCCAGTTTTACTTGTTATTCTGACTATGTAATTTAATGAATCTTACATAACCTATGAAATATGAGTATAGTGGTTCTATGAAAACAAAATTAAATGCTTTGGAAAGATTCAATAAGGAAGGTCATTAGGCAAAAATCTACTGTTAATTACATAGAGGAAAAACTTCAAAACGTTGGGGAAATAATCTAGATGGAGTAAGCATTCAAACTGCTTTAAATTCTCTAAATTCTCACTGTATTAAAATAAACCAAAAGCCAAAACCAGAAATCATAAACTGTATATTTGGGTCTGGTTTAGGCAAACAAACAAGTACAAGGGCTTGTAACTATAACCAGCAGAATGATATTCACAGGAAAGACGTCGGCGTCACCCATAAAACTGGCAAAATTTTAAATTAAATGTTTATGTTAGTCATAGATATCACTTTCTATAATTCCCCACATTGGCTAACTCTTTCAATTAATGGACGTTGTCCCATTAGCTCTAGGTTCTTATCATAATCAGATAAAAGGATTCTACTGCAGGGCTACTCAAGTTGTGCTCCTCAGGCCACAGCAGCGTCACAGGAGGTTAGTTAGAAATGCAGCACCTCAGGCCCCCTCTGGGCAGCGCCCAGGAACTGTGTTTTGACCAGCTTTTCAGGTGACTCTCAGGCACACTGCCCCACTGTATTCACACGTCACTGGAGGCACTAAAACGGGGTACAGACTAATCAGGAATCACAAAAATTTCCTTTTATTCTGACTCAGCAATCCTACTTATAAGAATATTTCCTAAGGAAATAATTCAAAAGAAGAAGAAAAGTGAATAAAGATATCCACACAGGAAGATATCCATGATTGTACCATCTGCAATAATGAACACTTGGAAGCAGTCTAAGTAAGGAGAGAAGAATGGTAAATAAATTACAGGCAGTAAATAAAAATGATATATATTAAAGATTTGTGACATGGTAATGTGTTTATAAAGTTAAGTAAAACTAACATGCACCATGGTTATAATTATGTCATATAAATATCAACCAGCAAATAACTAGTTCCCCTGGATTAGGGTGGTACTGAGTAATGATTTAGTTTTCATCTTTAAAAGTTATTTTAATATAGTTGTAATAATGTTTATATAATAAAAATATCTTAATTATATCATTTAAAGGCACCATTATTTAAAATTCATACTACACTCTCAGCGCACAGTTTAAAGACCCCTTTAACTACGTAAAACACCATGGCAATGTCATCGCCAGCTGTTGTGTGAAAACATCAAGATCTGATATCTTTTGTGACAGATGGGCCGTTAGGGAAGTCAGTCTTAGCTAAGGAGGCTCTCAGTACCTGAATTATCCTCATCTTTGCGGATTTTGAGCTTCACCAGTTCTTCGCACTGCTGGAGGATCTGAACCGCGTCCTCCATGGAACAGTTGTCCAGCCGGATGTTGTCTATTGCAAGTAACTTGTCCCCAAGTTCCAGGGTTCCAGTTCTGTTAGTAAAACGCAGAGCAACACAAGATTAACGATGAGCACTTCACCAGGCCATTCAAGAAGCATTAAGCATCAAGCAGCATTATGGTAGTCTTTAGAGGAAAAAGCAAGATAATGTTTTTAAATTGCACTTTATTGACAACCCCCCCTTTTTTTCCAGTCTTATTTTGGATGGCTGCTGTGACATTAAATTGCAGAGTATTAAAAACATTTTTTCTTATGCTTTCTTCCATCAGACCAGGACAACCACATAAGCTTCACTCAGGAATCCTAAGGTTCCTAGGAAGGTGGGTGACGGGCCGGGTTTACAGAGACCTGGTCCTCACGCTTCTCGATGTTTTGCACCACTTTTGATCCCTGGCAGTCCAGATACGAGGAGAGGGTTGAGGGAGTGAGGGAGTCAAGGTGGGATGGACTGAGCGGAGGTCTGAGTCTTGGTGTCTCCGCCATCTCCACCTGCAGCAGGAAATCAGTGTGGCTGCAGTGGGGAGAAGAGGTGGGTCTGATGCTACCTGTCTGGAAGGCGGCCGTGGAGAGTCTAAGACTGCCTGTGGACCACGCAGCTCTGTTGAAAGTTTTTAAGGTCCATCATGAAATGAGAAACATAATGAGAATGTATACATGTTTGTGTGTGCATGTATGTATGCACACACATATTTGTAAGGAAGGTGATGTTTTGGTAAGAACTATCCTTTATGTGTTATGTCTGTGACGGAGATTGCTCATTGCTTCCCAGCATCCATTATCCCCTTCCTTCTTCTGGGTCACCCCCTAAAAATGTGCACCCCAGACCCTCTCGGCACCACCCCCACCTCCCCTCTATGGCTAGACTGGAGCAAGCTGGTGAGGGCGGCTTGTTTGACCCATTCTACTTGTGAGCCTTGTTGTCACAGCATCTGAGCCTACACCTATACACCTAAACTCATACCATGTCATTCCTACTTTTTAAGTGTTAAAATATTTCTTTAATAAAATGACTGTGATAATAGATGGGATTTTTTTTTAAAGTCCTTTACTGGAAAATAAAAAGAAAGTTAACAGTCTTATATTAGTATTCCCAATCATCTAAAAAATAATTTTGATTTGTGAAATCAAAAGTTTGAGATGCCCTGATTCTGATGGTATATGGACCAAATAGGAGACATGAACACTGTTTAAGGCTCCAGGATCTGGCTTGCCCAGAGAGGACATTCTGGCACCTAGTAAAGCTTCCCACAAACTACTATCTCCAGGTGGGTGTCTCACATAATTAGGGCCACTTTCAGCTTTTTAGCTGCAAAATGAAAGATGGAAGATGATAAGTGAAGGAGAGCCTATGCTGGGCTCATGAAAGACCCTAAAGTCATTTTCAGGTAATTATTGTCTGTACTGGGTGCAGAAATAAATTGACACGAGGGGGGAGATCCATATAGTCATTGTCACTAGGGATGTCAAATATGATGGATCAATAGTGGCTGCCTGGAAAATATTGAGAATACCATGATCCGTTAGCAAGGTCTGCCTAGGGTGTGGAAGCGGTCATTTCTGCTTTAATTAAGAAATGCCTTGGAATGAACCAGAAAATCCATTTTCCTTACCTGTGTGCCACACTGCCTTTTTTGATATCTGATATGACAAGGGGGTCTCCTGGTTTTCTACTGGATGGTGCTGCAATAACAAAGATAGAATAGTCAGATCTTTATGCCCACGATTCACCCCCCACTGCACATTTCCTCTGTTTATAACAACTGTTAAGAAGAGTTTGTATGTAAAGCAAAGATGATCAACAAATTAATTGGAAAATGTGCACATTATATCTTCTTGATATAAAAATGTTTGCATTAAAGTTTAATAAACTTAAAAACTAAAGCAAAGTCCTTTTGAATTTGCAATTGGAGAAATCAGTTGGAGAGCTGCCCAGCAGGTTTAAATCTATTTCAATCTGTGATTCTCAAGAGAGGGAGGTGGAGGGTGGATACTCCAACAGGAGAGTGTTAAAAGCAACTGGGGGCTCCCCTTAGTGGTACTCATATGTGTTCCCTTCTCCCATCCCTTCCCTTGCTCCTTCCCAGTGAGGAGACACCAGTCTTTATGGGACCCTGCCATATTACTCAAGTGTACTGGGTGGGAAAGTGGATGAGAATCACTAATTTAAAGTTGTTCTTTTTTTTTTTCAGAAGGAAGTCTTTTGCTAGATTGACTGTAAATCTTAAAATTTTGCTAACAAATTCATACCTACAATGCTCTGAAATGTTCTGAAATGTGACTGTTTTATTTTATTGACAGTAGTAAATATTTGGTGCTACTTAATTATATTTTATACATATTCATATTCTAAACATGTACATGTAACTTTTATTGAGTTTACAGATAAAACTAATATCCTGTCCAGTGGTCAGTTTTGAGCTTTATAACTTTTCTTAGGAATATTTCCATTTGATGAGAAAGAAAAACAATTAGTAATGAGTCACTTGGAATTAATCCTGAAAATAAACTATAGTCCATATAAGCACAAAAATATCTTGACCTAGAAAGTGTACATTTAATTTAGTAGTTCGATAGTCAAAATTAACCATACCAACATTTGTAAAAAACAATTTTCCTCTGAGAGATGTTTTGCCAATCTAAAGCCTGGAGTGATTTCCTTTTAACGATCATTAAAAGGCCCCTAAAGTAAGATTTTATTATAAACAGTCTGATCACCCCATAACAATCATAGAACCATATCATATCCCTTAATCCCATCTGAATCCCAGGAAAATGTTTATGCACAAGAACAGCTGGTTTAATGTCTCAACACAACATTGAAAGGAAAAGCAAACACACATACCGATACCTTACCCACTGTCTAAATTAGTCCATAGTAAATGTTAACGCGACTTCATTCAATCATTATTCTTAGCTTCTAGCAAAGAATGCAAAACATTCCACTCACTACAATTAATTTATAATTCAAGCTTCCACTCATTGATTTGATATAATTCATCTAGAGAAAGATAAACATCTGGCATTTTTACTCATGTCACGTTTCAGAACTGCAAATTGTTTTGGGCATAGGGCACAAAAATAAAAACTTTGTTATTACCAGCAAACACAACTTTTCTAGCATCTGCCAGTGAATTTACACAATATTTTGCCAAGCTGTAGTAATCATCACAGAGCACTCAATGTTTCTCTTGGTTTTTTAAAAAATCCATGTTCCACTGAAATGGTCTGAAACAAAACAATAGTGGAGGCAACAGAATAGATCAAACCCATCTCTGTCATCTTTGCAACAGAGGAAAATATCACTGCGACCTCTTGGACAAACCCACACAGCTTTGCAGAGAGGTTTGAAACTGCTTATGGTCTACAGACATGTATGGTGGTCATTCACACATTTACTAGATTCTTCTCTTTCTCCTATAACCAAGTCCATACCTGAGACTTGAAAGGTTCATCAGAGTAGATGCCCAGTGGAGTGATGAAGTGAACCCAGAAGTGGGTCTAAATCTGTATGAGCTCTGACATTGTCACCACCATGCCCACAAGGCACATTAAATGTGGCAATGCATGCTCTGGGAGCTCAATCGTGGTCTGCCCACCATAGCACCATGTTTTAATTCTCCAGTATCTGAGAAGTCACAAACCAAGCATGCTTTGTTTGAATTGTAGTGCTTTAAGTTAATTAAATTAGTTGCCAACATTTAAAAATTAGTAGATTTTGGGCCGGCCCTGTGGCTTAGCGGTTAAGTGCTCGCGATCTGCTGCTGGCGGACCAAGTTCGGAGACCGGGCGCGCACCGACGCACCGCTTCTCCAGCCATGCTGAGGCCGCGTCCCACGTACAGCAACTAGAAGGATGTGAAACTGTGATGTACAACTATCTACTGGGGCTTCGGGGGAAAATAAATAAATAAATAAAATTAAAAAAAAATTAGTAGATTTCATACAGATGTATGGCTTCTTTTAAAAAATTAGAAAGGCAACAGGGTCTAGTGGTTAAGAGCCTAGACTTGGCATCCAGAATGCCTGGGTTCAAAACCCTGGCTCTACCACTTACTGGCCATGTGCTCTTGAACACACAGTCTGTAGGCACCTTAGTTTCTCATCTGCAAAATGGTGATGAAGAATAATCATCGTGCTTACCTCATAGAATTTTTGTTGTAAGGATTGAGTTTTTACATGTAAAGTGATGGACCAGCGCACACAGAATGCACTGCGTACATGTTGATTGTTATTCTGATGATCCAGCAACACTGGACTCACTTTCCCACTCCTCCCTTTAGATGGAGCCTTCAGTCTCCCATTGCCACTGCCCTCATTGCACAGATCTCACTCACTGACTTGCCTCATCCCTAAGGGCTTCTGAGTTTGGGACCCTTTGAATGAGCATGCATTAGCACTCACTCAGTGCTTTGAATGCGGTTGGAGTGCTCCACAAACTCGTTCATTTAACACATATTTATGGAACATCAACTATGAGCAAGGCACCTCTGCTCTGGGCACTGGCCATGAAACCCCAGAAAAGTTGGATAAGAAGGAGAGCAGCACTGGTTAAATCCCATAGGGTCATTAGGCATGAAATGGTTTTCTCTCCTACAAAGTGGTTCCAACTGGGAGGGCCATACAAACATGTCATGTGAGGGGAGGCTACACTAAATGGGTGAAGAGTGTGGCTTAGAAAATAAGGGCAACAAAAGGGGATTAAGTGCTGAAAAAGAAAGAAAAAACAGTCACAACTGCTTGAAACCTCCACAGAAACTGGCCAAACGTACAGAACTGAAAGCCTGACAAGAGAGAAAGAACAAGGATGCAATATCCCGTGTTACATGATATATACTAAATTGAAAATACTGCCTTTTCCCCACTCATAGTTCATAAAATAATTCAAACTCTTCACTTGTATCTCCAGTGTTGTTTTTGTTGTTACTAGAGCTACAATTTGAGTCATCTACAAGATTTTTCAAAACTCATGACTGTCACGTCTTTTACAGCTCTTTTGAAATCCAGCAAGATAATGTCAATGGATATTTTTTTCCAAATCGCAATTCCCCCTCTGTATAACGTTACAATAATCGATATTTTTCATGCTACCCATAGGTATACATTCTTGATCCTCGCAAGGAAACTATTTACTATATTACTTTTTAAAGTTTACTTTTATTTACGGCAAAATTATACATGCACACAATTTGAAGAGTCAAAAGTTGTACAAAAGCAGTCCTTCATTTCCTCTTCCCCAGATGCAACTTTTGGCTGTTTCTAAATTGCTAAATAACATACAACTATTATTACTTAATTATTTTTCAGTGTTAGTTATTTACTTCCTGTGATGAAAGAGGAGGAGTTAGTTCCCCCACCCCCATGCCACCACCATCTTCATGCAGTTCTTGCCCCCTATTCTTCCAATACTGTTTTGTCTTAATTTTTTGTAAGATCAGTATTTGGTATCTACTTTAGTATGACTATATATAAACAGTATCCGCAGACACGTCATGTAGCATTTCTGCAGGATACGTTTTCCCTGTAGTTACCTGTTGTCTCCATGTCTTTGCTCAGTTTTCTTGTGTTTTTCATGAATTCAACTCCTCACACGTCCCAGGTTATGCAAATCTCCTCTCAATATGTCAAGTCCTATCAGGAATTCTATCAGAGGTTTACAGTCTGTCTGGACTGTTTATTTTCTAGGGCTGCTACACAGATCTTGGCAAATTCCTTCCCACAGGCCGTGGGAACACAGAGGTTCTCTTCACTTCTTTCAATAAACAAGGAGGCCATTGGACTGAGGGGCTCTAATGCCATGATGGCCTGCAGAGCAACCCAAAATCTCAGCCTGTAAATGCCGCAAGGTTACAAGTCAAAACGCTAAGGACAACAAATCACAAACAGCCGCCTAAGCTTTAAGCTGCAGCGAATCCAATAATCTCCTCTCTTTGCTTCTGCACTTTCTCCCCATGAGTCTTTTCCTGGCTCCTGTGGGCCAGCGCTCCTAACCACTTCCCGTTTGGCGCTGCCTGACTTGAATCTATTTTTGCTCAAATAAACTCTTAAAATTTTTACTCTGTCCCAGTTTATCTTTTAACACTGCCCTCTAAATTTCTGAATCTAAATTTCCCTCTCTCTGGCTTCCCTTTCGTTTGGTGGCGCACATTCTCCAGGAGCTTCCTGAGGAAGAGTGCATGGAGGGGAGCTTTTGCGATCTTGCATCGCTGGAAATGTGCTTTTCTACCTTCACATTTGATTGGCAGCTTTGCTCGGTGGAGAATTCTAGGCTGGGAATCCCTCAGGATCTTGAAGGTACTCTCCCACTGCTTCCTAACTTCCAGAGCTGCTGTTGAGAAGACTGATGCCATTCTGATTATGGGATTATTGTTTGTATTCTGATACATTTTATGAAAACTATCTCCTACCTCCCACCACTGGAAGCCTGTGGGATTGCTTTTCTGTCCCAGTGTTTTCAGATCTCATGACGACATGCCTTGGTGTGGGTCTGTTTTCATCCACGGCTCATGGACCCATCAATTTGGAAACTCACATCCATCAATTCCAGGAAATTTTATGAATTATTTATTTGAAGCTTTTCTCCCCTCTTTCTTTCTGTAATGGCTGTTCTTTGGATATTGCATCATTTGGACTCATCCTGTATAATTCTATCTATTCTACATTCTTCATTTATTTGTTGTTTTG